TAAAATAAAAATAATTTTTTATATTTTTTATATAAATTAATTATAAAAAATTATATTTATTACACATTTAATAAGTATTTTTAAACAAAATTTTTTGAAAAGATCATGCGTTTTATTTATCGTAGGGACTTCCATTGCCCGCCATCCAGAATGCTTTTTGGGGTAAATATGCTCTTGTAACATTAAATTAAGAAAAATGATTGATATATTTTTCAATTTAATACATTTATATTAGTACTTATTAATTCTATTATTAAATTTTAAAATTAAAAATCTTCTCACCTAAAATTAAAATTAAAAAAAACATATTTTTTTAATAAATATATTGTAAAATGCATTAAACTAATGGATGTACCCTTATCGTTCTTAAATTAAACTAATGAAACATGGCTGTAAAGCTGAATTGGAAGAAGTATTTAACATCCATTGCTTACAAACAGTTAAGTTATTAAAACCCTTTAAAATTTAATTATTTGAAAAACATTTTTTTTGTTTAATTTCACGCATTAATTAGAGAAACATCTTTTTTTCCCCAACATTAGAGATTACTAGTTTTGGTGGAAAATAAAACTTATTTGCCATAAGCAGTGATTATGAGGGTGTTTGGCAAAGTTTAAAACACTTGTTTTAAAAGTAAATTCTTTTTACAAATTTCAAATTTTGTTGAAGGAAAATCTAAAAATTAAATTTTAAGCTAATTTTTAAAAAAACTTAAAAAGCATTTGAAATTTCATTTTTCAAAACTTACTTAAAATCTACTTTAAAACTCAATTTTTAAATTTTCTTCTAACAAAATTTAAAATTTCTTAGTGAAAATTTTATTTTTAAGACAAATAATTTTTAAGTTTTAGTAAACACCTTTACAAGTTAAAAATACTAACTTTATCATTTATTTATTATAATATTGAGTTGTGTAAATACTATAGGAAAATGTTGGTTAATAGTATTTAATAGTATCATAAATTGTTAAATGTTGGTTATTTGTTATCATATAGTATCATTTTGAAAGTGGATTGTCAGTGAATCGGTCCTTTTGAATATAATAGTGCCAGGTAACTCGCTTGAAATGTGGCGGTTTAATCTTTGCCCTCCGCCTCAACCATACCATGAGTGATGCTTCTGGTCTAGTGCAGTTCCTAACGGCTGTCAGTGAGATGGCCCATGGTGAAAGTGTCCCTTCAGTCATGCCCATTTGGGAAAGGCATCTCTTCAATGTGCGGTACCCTCCACGTGTGACCTGCACACCCCATGAGTACGAGCGGGTAGCTAACACAGAGGGCACCATCATCCCACTTGATAACACAATCCGGTGCCCTTTCTTGTTCGGCCCCTCTGAAATATCAACTATTCGTAGTTTCCTTCCCCACAGCCTTCGTCAATCTTCTACTTTCGAAGTGTTCGCTGCGTCCTTCTGGCGATTCCGCGCCATAGCTTTAGATATAGATCCCAATAAAGAGATGCGAGCCATATCTCTTGCCAATGCCGTTTGAAGTTCAATCCTACTATACCCACGGGATTTTATGGGAATGGGTTTGCTCTTTCAGCGGCTTTAACAACTGCTGGGAAGCTTTGTCAAAACCCATTGGCGTATGCATTGGAATTAGTGAAGCAGGCAAAGGTAGACATAGCGCAAGAGTACATAAAATCGGTGGCGGACTTGATGAGGATTAGGGTCGACCCCAGTTCATAATGGATGGAACATTTTTGGTATCTGATATAACACAAGATGGGCCTTTAGACGTGGGTTTTGGATGGGGCAAGGCAGGATATGGTGGAGTGGCAACAATTGGAGGTAAACTGATGCCTTGGGTTATATAAGCTTTTTTATGCGGTTCAAGAACAAGAAAGGACAGGACGGGTTTGTGGTGCCCATTTGCTTGCCAGCTCTAGCTGTGGACAAGTTTGTGAAGCAGCTTGATAACACGTTGAGAGAGCAGCCTCTTTGTAATATCTCAAATTTTTGGGAGTTTTATCAATTAAGTTAAGGGACTTATTTAAGGAAACATATTATTGAGGGGCTTAATAATCAAATTTTAAAAAATTGAGGGGCTAAAAAGAAAGGAAATTAGGATAAGGTATGGCTGAGTTTTTCTTTCTTTTTTTTCTTCTTCCTTATCCGCGTGCCTGCTCTGTTCTTCCCGACTCCCTCCCGACAAGCCCCGCAAAGCCACCGATGGTCCCCCTTTGAAAAATTGGCAAAAAGCTTGGAAATTTCTCCTTTCCTTCTTGTTCAAGAACTGATTTTGGGGCTTAGAACTCTCGTTAAACCCAGAAAATCCCGGTTCTGCTCTGCTCTTCTCCCCTGCAACCGGTAAAGCTTGGGATTTTCTCCTTCTTTTCTTGTTCTTGAACCCATAAATTTCCCCCTCTCTGCTGCAGAATTCCGGATCTGCTCTGCCTTGCTACTTCCGGCTGCTGCTCTGCTGTATGGGGGTGCAAAGTGCTCGGGTTTGTTGGTAAGAAATAGCTCGAAATTCCCCTTTTCTTACTTGATTTGGGCTTGGGTTTGCTTTAATTCCTCTTGGTCCTTGAATTTTGGGTAGTTCGCGTGAGTCCCTGCACTGCCGCCGGCTTCCCCTCCAATTCCCGCCGGCTTCTTCCCCCCCTGCTAGGTCCGGTTCTTGCTGGAAAATTCTGGTATGTGCTAGCTTCTCCAAGGTTGAATTTTACCCATTTAATTGCTGGGTTTTGTCCATTTAGTTAATGCTCTGTGTTGTTCGAAAATTTGTGGAAATAGGAAGAAATTTGGCAGCCATTTAAGTAGGTAATTTTAGCTTTAATTCATGTAGAAATGGCTTGATTTGCTGCTGTGAATTTTCTGGAGAGAAATCCCGTGTGTGAGTGTGGTTTTGCCCAGCCATTTTCTCCATTTTTCTATCCCGGGAGTTGGTAGCTTTAAGTGGGTTTTTGTTTAATTTAAGTGGAGGTTAGCTTGAATTGGGTTGTGATTTTGGAGAGAAATCCCGTGAGATTAGTTATTATTTTGCAAAGTTTGGAAGTTGAAGTTACTGTTCATGGGATACTGTTCATGGTATTGTTCACGGGTACTGTTCACACACCGAGGGTCAACTATTAACGGGGATTTAAATGTTTAATTTGTGATATAAGAATAAATTTGGAGATGTTCAGTTATGTGGAGACGGATAGAAATAGCACTTTGATTAGAGGTAATGCTAATGATGATTTTACTTTGAATTTGTGGTAGTGCGGTATTAATTGTGGAATATTGTGATTAGGTTTTGATCGTTTTGTCACCGTAGCACTTGGGTTAAGCCTTCTGTTCTGTGCGAGTGAGGTAAGTAAATTATGGTAAAGTCCTTCAATTTTAAACCATGTTTTTAATTGTTTTTGAGATGGTGGCAAGGTTCAAATTAATTTTAAATTGGTTTTAAATTGATTTTATCAGCATCTGAGTATGATTAAACTGAAATGTAAATTGTTATGATTTTTATGAAAATTATTATTTTCTAGAATTAAGCATGATTGGAAAATGAAAATGGGAATTTCATTCTGGAATTGAGCATGATTGGAATGAAAATGAGAGTTTCATTGTTTTTCTGGAGTTGAGCAAACCCACATGAAATCGTTTTTCATTTGTATTGAGTAGATCATGCCTATTTGGAATTGATTGAACTGCTTTGATGGACTGAGAGTTTTGTAAATTCTGAGTTTTTCTGTTAAATCCATGCTCACATGGAAATTTTTTGGATTATTTCTGAAATTGGAGATTGATTGTGAATTGTGGATTTTTCTGTAAATCCTGCATAGTTTTGTCTCTGATATAGTCATGATTATTGTACCCACTAGTGGGAGGTTTATAAACGCTAGCACATGTCGACATGTTTACTGATAGAACCGGTTCATCCTGCCAATGGGATAATACATTGATAAGTACTGACGCCTGCTAGTGGGAGTTGGTAAACACTGGTACTATTGACGCCTGCCAATGGGCGAATACATTGGTAATTACTGATGCTTGCCAGTGGGAGTTTGTAAACACTGGTACCATTATTGATGCCTGCCAGTGGGAGTTTGTTAAACACTGGTATTTTTATAACCTTGCCAATGGGGTTAAACATTGGTAACTACTGTGCCCGCTAGTGGGAGGTTTATAAATGCTGGTCATGACTTATAGATGAGACTACTGAACTGAATTTTCTTCTGCATAAACGATTTGTTATGAAACATTTTGTTATTGAACTGAGTCTGATTCTATTTTAACGGTTTGTCATTGAACGTTTTGTTATTGAACTGAATTTGATTCCGCATTAACGGTTTATCATTGAAAGTTCTGTTACGCTTACATGGTTTATCTGGCATGTTTAAAAGTTTTACTCAAGGGCTATTCATATTTACTTACTGAGTTATCTCATAGTTTTTCTTATCCACCATTTCAGGAAGCGAAACCGAGGACGGGGAAACCGAGGGGAGTGACAAGTTAGAAGGCTAGCCATCTTGTAAATTGAATATGGATTTTAGATATAAATGATGATATTGTAAGCTAGATTGTGATCAGAGATTTTATAACTTTATTTAATGGATTGTTAGTTTACGAGAGATTTGACCTGAAGATTTTGAGATTAAGTCGTGTTGGACATAAAATTAATTTTGAAATATCCGATCTAAGTTAATGGATTGTCAGATGTGAATTAGATAAGTTTCGAGCTTTGTGCATTCGTGGGACCTGTTCACGAGTGCACGGCGTCTGTCACGCCTCGAATCTTGGTTCTAGGGCGTGACACTCTTATAAGTAATTGTAGGCTGTAGAAAACCTAAGTTTTCTCTCGAGCTAAAAAGTACAATGCATAAATGAAAACAAGGAAGAGGAAAGGAAAGTTAAAATAAAGTGTTTATCCGGATTTGGATGATTCAAAAGTAATACAATTGAATTTGAGAGAAGTCAGCTATATATTTCTCATTGAGTTGTTAAAAATATATATACAAGGCAAAACCTAATGATGATGTTAGACACATGATGAGCTAATTATTTTCTATTAAGAATACTAATCACTTTAAATAACATAATGATAATTAGGATAATAATATATACACCCTATAAAATTATATATTGACCGTCTTTATTACTTAATTTGTTACACACTTCCCTCATAACTTTCTAAATGCATCCAACCCTTTCTTTCTCTCTCCTTTTTCCTTCTTGCTATTTCGGCCTTAGACACATAAAACAAGTCTATTTTTGGGATGATATAGCAAAAAGTGGAGTGCATGTGAGTGGAGCCAATTGCTAGAAAAGGGAAAAAGAAAACAAGGGAAATTTATGTAGTTTTGGTATTATGCACAAGTTTGCCATTTTGTCAAATCTATAAAAGTTCATCGTCATATTGAGCTGAAATTTTGTCTAAGTATTCAAGAAATATTGATCTATATTTTGAACAATTAGTTTTTTGTTTAGAGCTTTGTAGATTTTGATTTTTTGCCCAAAATAGTAGCTCATTTTTGGTGATATGTTTTTCTATAATTTTGGTACTGTGCATAGTTTTGTCATTTTGTTCGATTTGCAGAAGTTCACTATTGAATTGCAGAAGTTCACCATTGGATTGAGCTGAAATTTTGTTTGGTTGTTCAAAAGACATTAATCTACATTTTAAACGATCAGTTTTTTGTTTTCGAGAGTTGCAATTTCTAATTTTGTGCTTAGAAAAATAGCTCATTTTTTGTTGATATTTTTTTCTATAGTTTTCATACTATACGCAATTTTATCATTTTATCTTATCTGCAAAAATTCACTATTGGATTGAGTTGGAATTTTGTCTAAGTGCTCAAGAGATATTCATCTATATTTTGAATTGTCAATTTTCATTTGAAGTTTTGTAAGTTTTGATTTTATATCCAAAATATTAGTTTATTTTTTGTGAATCATCAATGTGTAAAAAATTGAGTAATAATTGTCAATATGTAACGAAATATGATATGTGGATCAACGACCTAAAAATTAACTATTGCCACACTAGTGGTGTGTTGAATTACCCTTTGATGCTTATCCAGGTACTTTTCTCAAGGAACTTAATCAAGTCTTTCATCTTTTTTTTTTTTTTTTGAAATATGAAATTTTTTTTTGGGGAAAGGGGAAATGGGGGACTTGATATTTGATCCCAAGTTTATGTAGTCCTATGCACGTCCCTACAAGGGGTGACCATTAGGTCACCGAGTGCGGGACTTCATCTTATTTTAGTATATCTAATAACAGTCTGCAGTTTATATACTTCACCGATGGGGTGGCAGCAATCTCCCAATAGTGGGAAAACTGCTGGGGCCTACAGGTTTAGGAGTTCGACCCTAACTCTCTGATCCCCTACCTCCTATAAACATAAAGGGTGTT